GGCCTTGTATTCTTTAAGTCATCAAAGGTTTCGGAGGAACATGTCGCCTCTCTCTTCAGCGTCGAAGAGCAAGCAAGTCAAGCTCTGCTTACTACCTGTTTCCCACTGATTTCATACTTGGTTTATTCTTCTACCCTGAAGATGAAGAGGAACTATTGCTCCGAAGCGTCAGTTGATTTTCATCGGATTACATGGTATTATCTCCCAGCGGCTAGAAATCTTCGAGGAGACCAAGTTTCGAGTCAGAATGTAGCAAAGCGAGGAAACTGCTAAAGTGATGGTAAGGGCTTTGAAATGGTCTGATCCCTCATGCAAAGAACGTTATCTCTTTTCTCAGTAAGGATTCAGAAAATATCTGCAACAGATGAGACCAAGATTCGACTGGGTCTGTGGCTCCAAGAAGAAACCGCTGAACTGAGAGCAGAGGCCTCGCGATGGTCTGCGTTCCCACACAAGGAGCCATGCAGCTTCTCATAATGCTCGCAGTTGAATCAAGACACGCTGAAAAGGTTAAACTGCACCGCGCTGTGAAAGAAGACATCACACCAGAAGGAAGTGTGTGGCTATCATCAGCATCTGGCCGACTTAACTCGTGGCAGATCAACTAACCAGCTAACTTCATGCAGCTGAGCCCTTCTTAAGGAGCCGCCAATTATGCAGCTATTCAAGAACTTCCCAGCATTTTATGGAACCAAAGTTTCATTGTCGTGTTCATAAGAGTCCTCCACTGGTCCTTATCCTAAGCCAGATCAATCTAATCCATACTATCCCATTCTATCTCTCTAAGATCCATTCACCTGCGCCTTGGTTTTCCTAGAGGTCTCTTTCCTTCTGGCTTCTCCACAAATATGCTATATGCATTCCTCTTTGCCCTATTCGTGCTACATTCCTTGCCTATCTCATGTTATCCTCCTTGACTTGATCATTCTGAAAGAAAAGTTATGAAGCTCCTCATTATGCAGTTTTCTCCTTTCGTGGTAAAACTGTTCCCGTCTTGAAATAATTAAGAATCATAACATGGTGAAATATTGGGGAGTAGAGGTATAGCTCCACCACTCTTTACATCGGCACTAGATGGAGGTGAGTAGAGAGCTTCACGCTCCGGTCGAATTACCCCTTGTATCCGTTGGCTAGGAGGCTGAGTGGCTCCCAGAGCCGGTCTGGATGCTTTCTAGTAGAGAAAACTCCTTGTCCCTGTCCGGAATCAAACCCCGGTCGTCCAGTCTGCAACCCGTCACTACACCGACTGACGACAGGCATTCCAATTGATTAAGGGAGTAAGTAGAGGCTCAGAGCATTTCTGAAAACGATGAAATGTTTGGGGTAACTGTACACCTATTGCTAACTTCGGCTCTGGAATATTGTATGTTCTGGTAGCTACTTGCTTCAGCCGCCTTTACTCAACATGAAATCAATGTGCATTGGTGGTGTTACAAAATTATCCATAACCTAGACCTTCGAGGTCACGTGATACAGAGCAAATGTCCCGTATGTTCGCTGCTATTCTCACCCGCTACTGAATATCCTGATGATGACGCAATCTCAAACACGTTTCGAACACATGTAATGACGGCGGTATTCTGTGATGTGACACCATATAGTCTGGTACACGATTACAAATATCATTCCAGAAGCCCTCAGATCTTGTAAAATAACCCTTGTTCCATTCTTGTACTCACAGACATATACTGCATTATGGAGGCTTTTCAGAGTGGAAAATTTGCTGTTATTGCGTTCATGCATGCACTATTAGATATATCACGGCACGTTAGCCATAAAGTGATAGGACAATTTATTTATTAGGATTAATAGTAGTATCCTACTCGGCCTGGGGGTGTCGGCAATGTATTTCCATGGAACCAGCTCCCGAAAGTCGTTACGAGGGATTTATGATTGATGCCGTGCGTACTACAATGCAAGGGCCATGTAATACAAAACTTAATGTCACTTGGAGAGGTGCTGCAGGCCAAGGAATTGCTGTGAATTGCTGTGCATATGTATTAGTAACTGCAGTGTGTAGTCTGGAGCCGGGATAGCTCAGTCGTTGTAGCGATGGGTTATCGTCTGGACGGCCGGGTTCGATTTCTGACAAAGGGGAAATTTTCCTTTTCTCCAGAGGGTCCAGACCGGCTGGGGGCCCACCCAGACTCCTATCCGATAAGTATTGAGGCGCGGTTTCTCCGAGGGTAAAGCTGCCTGGGCGTGAAGCTGACTATTCACCCTCATCTAGTGACAAGGTGGAGATATATCTCCACTCCCCCATATCTCTTCATGGCATATTCAAATTAATACATAAGCCTGCAGATCTATGAGCAGGACATGGGCAATGCTGAGAAACAAGTCTATTGATTACTAGTGCATATTCTTGCCGGACAAATTCATTGCTGATAATGAATCAAATTTGTGTCTTCCGTCAGCACTGGTAATGGTGTTTCTGAGGCGGGGAGTCGTGAAGGTAGTAACGTAATGATGTTTATTTCTTCCTTTCTTCTCAGTGTCCCGAAGATAAAAACAGAGATAGTAAAGCTGTCCCTGTAACAGGCCGTGGAGGCCCATAGGGTTGTGAGACGTCGAGACTCCCACATTTTCTAGACATCCGGGGCACAGATGGCGGTAGGGTTGTCAACCATACGAGCCGTCCGTCCTTTACACCCAGGAAGATTCCTGATACTCATTTCCGTTAGAGGCTGAGTCGACCCCCGGGCCATAATGCATTTGGTAGGATTAGGTCAATTTAAAAATCCAATGACCTTATCGGGAATGGAACCCATGAGCTTCCGGCTTCTAGCATAGTGACCCCTAAAAGAAGAGATGCGCTTAATTATTTACACATTACAAAAGGAATTTCGTATAGAGGAGTGGAAGTGTAGTCCCAGTTCTCCTTAACATTTGGCGCTAGATGAGGTGAGTGATCAGGTTCACGCCCCGACCGCTTCATACCTACTTCATCCACAGCGGGTACATGACCGAACCTACTAGGACACATTACGTCCATTACCGGGATTAGAACACCGGTCCTATAGCCCGCAGCCGTTCACTTTACGAGCCGAGATAGTAAGATTTTTCTTTCAGCTCTGACTTTACAGAGATCGATCGATCGGTTTCGCTCGTTCCCTAGGGACCACCCTATTGTGCCGATTCCTCGTCGGACATGATCCCGAGGGACCCAGGGACCAGACATGTTTGTATGGATGGAATGAACCTCTAATTTCAATGTGTCAATACGTCTATAGCAAACTACTTTTTGGTTTGGGGTGATGATATACGCCCCCCTGGGGGCCCAGAGAACTTAACCGCATGCACGCTTCCCTGGGGAATACGGAGAATTCAAGCCATGTTCTGTACTGCTGATAGCCATTCGCTCTCTAATTCTCCTTTCAACAGACGTACAGCTGAGGGATCAGTGTATTGCAAACAAAATTGTTCGGAAGCACCATCCATTAGATTCACAACCGCTGTTGAGTCGTTCATTCGCCAAGTACAATTAGAACGAGGACGAGATGGGCATGGCATGTGGCACGCATGGGAAAAAACAATGTATGTTAGATTTTGGTGGGAAAGCCAGAAGGAAAGACATGGTTAGGAAGACCCAGATTCGGGTGGGAGGTAATACTGTAGCGTGTAGACCCTTATTGTGTAACAACCTCGGGACAAACAATGAAACAACATCTGCTGCTAGGCAACATATTCTTAGTAGGCAAGTACACGCAGCCATTACTGGGTAACACCTTCGCAAACAAACATACTCCCACGGAAAAGATTTCGTTACAACAATGAAATGTGTTTTCTATGCGGTCCGTGCCGAGTTGTCATAAGGAGGATAGCTGGAGTTGTAAGGGAGTGTGTGAAGTGAAGTGAAGACTTAGTAAAGTTGTGAGATATTCGCAGGGCTCTAACGAAGTGAGCGAAGTAGCTGAATAATCTCCGCTATTAGAAGCAGTTACCAGGAAATGACCGATGAAGATGCAACAGACTGAAAAGACTTAGCGTGTGCTGTAGTGGTTTGTAAAGTGTTGATATCAGCGATTGCCCTGTAATTAAGCGCAGTCACGAGTCGTGTGTTAAAGTGGCCAAAACCTCGACGTCTCACAACCCTATGGGCCTCCACGGCCTGTTACAGGGATAGATTTAACTTTTATTATCATTTTTGTGCATGTATTTATTTTCTTCATTTCTTTGTTTGTGCTTATTCTATAACCGGCCTTTGGGCTCCTGAATAAGCATATAAATAAATAAAGAACATTATTATTATTATTATTATTATTATTATTATGTCATAATATTATCTTTACTATTTCAGATAATTATCTCGGTTGGCTTTTTTCATTTTCTTAGAATTTTGTTCCGATAAGCGCCGTAGAGGGCAGGCGAATTAGGGTTATCTCCTCTTTACTTCTGAGTCACTGAAAGAGTGACTCAATCAGGATGCGAACCTGTAATTATCAAGACAGAGATCTCGTCTCCGCAAGTGCACTGCACTCGCCTCCTCTGTCTCTCTCTGTTTAGCCACAGAACCGCCAAACAGATAACAAACTATCTTCCTTCCTCCTCTTAAACTCGCAAAAATTTCACTTCCGATTTCCGGGCTCTCCAAAAATCAACCAATCCCATTACACTATTACCTTCAGTACTCCCCACCACCTGTTTCTCCACATTGGACGCTCTACCAATAAGAATCCAGCGTGTGGTAACCGTAGCCAATAGCAGCTTCCTTTCCCCCGTCTCTCCTCAGCGCTTGTTGGCCCAGCTGCTTCGTGCTATCATCGCTGCCCCCTCCCCCCGCTCTATCACTTAGATGCTCTATCATCGCTCGTACAGGGAGATGAATCTCTACTTAACTCCGCCATGTTTTGTTGGGTGTTAAAGCTTGTTGCTGCTGCTTGGGGTGCTGTGGGGGGGTGGGGCGGGGAGAAGAGGGGGGATGCTGTCGTACCTCGTGTGAGTGTGCGGATACTGCACTTAGTGTCTGACTGGGAGGAAGCAGTCTGAGAAACGTTTTGCTTTATTATGAAGTGATTTGGTGGATTGCTCTATTTTCTGATGTACCCGCCGAGAGTGTGGAGACTTATTGATGCGATAGCATGTTAACGATAATTATTTCAAAGCACTGTGTGTCTTAGGATATTTAAATAACAGACTTTAAAGATGGGTTAAGACTTAGATATCAAAGTGAGAATTATTTGTGGTGAAAGAAAGGCAAAACTTACGCCGTGTGTAGCACTGAAGATGTGAGTGGTCACAACGTGACAGCGAGTTTTGAGGATGTGAGTGTTCCAGGGACAGATACACTCGCATGAATTCTTAGCAAAATGTCTTCCTTTCCTGCTGTGGAATCCGTTGTCAATGTGAAGGAGGTGTGAATGTGGGTTGTAAGAAATAAAGAAAGTTGTTGTGTATGCCGCTATTTCTTCAGGGAAAGTAACATTTAACATGCATATTTTAATAGTGTCTGCTGAATAGGAGGCATAGAAGTATAGGGTGTAAGTTGTTCCAGGTCTCTTTTGCTACAGTACACAGGCCTTATTATGAAGATAACAGACTCGAAGACAGATGTACATATAGGCTTATTTAGCATAATTTCATGCGAAAGTAGTGGATCTATACGTCTATAAGCTACAAATAAATGAAAGCAATGGGGTGTAAGTTCTATTGCTTATCAAACTGAGCCTTTTTGTCACGACTCGTATTAGTGGAGCACTGTCTTCAACTCGCTGTTAAGTGTATCAGCCCAGTGTTGTGTTGCCATGGGAATTCTGTTTATATTACGAGAATGCTTCTGACAGTTTCATCTGAAGCCACAAACAGTAGCATTACAGCATGATGACTATGATGATGATGCAACGACTCATGTGTCATCAAACTCAGCAGCAGCAGCAGCAACAACAACAACAACAACAACAACAACAAAGTCATTCAACACAACAACAACAGCAACAAATCTTACAGCAGAACTCTTCCGGAACCAATTCCACGTCTGGTTCCATCCGTTCTTTAACACCTCCGCGGCTTCTTACCTTCAGTCACCATCCGTTCCACCGCGTCCACAGCGGCGACTCCTCTCCTACTATCGATACTCGAGTTAGAAATATCGAACCGGTAGAGAATCGGAGTAGAAACATCGATACCGTTAGAGGAGACAGTGATAAGGTTCTTGTGGACGTTTCGGCGGTTCCCACGATGCACCAAGCGTCGGGTATGAGCTGTACAGACGCTGCAAGCCCGCAACCTGACCACAGCGACACCGAAGCACTTCCCCGTGAAGACAGAACTAGATCGAGACACTTCCGTGACGGCAGGGACGAAGAGACAGCAGAATGCGAAGCGTTGGCAGAGAAGGCAGAGATAGAGCAGGATATGGACATTGAGGAAGACGAGGAGGATTTAGAGATGAACGAAGGAAGTGACGATGAGGAGGAACTGAACGTAGAGGACGAAGATCAGGAAGCAAATGACCTTATGTCGTCTCCGGTAGACCTGACAAATAGACATCACTCCAACGCGCGCCTAATGTTAGCCAATCATAGGTTACTGCAGGCTCCTCCGGACATCCTGGACTCACACTCCCCTGTCATGTGCAACACAAACTCACTGTCGTCCTCACCAAAAGCTGATGCGTCAGGGAACCTTGTAGATAAGTCCTCGAGGCCTAACTATAGATCAGAGAGTGTGTCAAGTGTGGGGGTGGGGGGTCATAACGGTGGAGGTCCCTCAACAACTACTGCGGGCAGTGCGAGGAGAAATCTGGCATTTTCTGTGGAGAACATCTTGGATCCGACTAAGTTTACGGGCCGCGGTCATATGCAGCATGCGGCCGGAAGGTTAGTTTCCGCCCCGAGGCTGACGTCGGAATCCGGGGGCCACGTCGCGGCGACGGCCTGCTGTTGGCGTCCGCATCTCGACACGGCGTCTCCGGACAGGACGGACGATAACTCAGGTGAGTGTTTTAACACAGCGTTATCAAGTGCATTTCTCTCAAATCTGATGGCAAGTAGAACCTTTCTGATTAGGATAATTACTTAGAGAAACACGAAAGACGTAAACAAAGGAGAATGTAATCTTAATAGAGTGCATCCTGTTGTGTGTTATAAATACGGTTTATGAAGGTACTCGTATATAAGGTACGCAGTCTACACAACAATACTCTGTATTTAAAAAATAAAGGAGACATTATTGTATCAACATTTGTTTTTATTTTGTTTTTGCAAAATCAACATGTTTCGACCCTTATACCGGGCCGTCATCAGGCGTACAATGTTCAAGTTTCAGCTACTGAATTGCAATTAATTTTTGTATAATTCTTCAAATAAGGATCCTTATTATGTCTTTAAATTATTTAAATGCATAAATTCATAAATTGAGTTTTTTTGGTCAAAATGTTGATACAGTAGTTTCTTCTTTGTTTCTTAAATACAGAATATTGTTGTGTAGACTGCATACCTTATATACTTTTATATACCTTAACGGAGTATGTAACTTGAACATAATATCACCGTTCTTAATGAGCTCTGTGATATTAATGTAGTATAAATAATGCTAAATTATGCAGTCTACTTCGTGTGGCACGCCGATATATGCCGAATTCTAAAGATAAAATGCAGGCAATAGACAGCTTGGTGCCGGGCTGAGCGATCTATGTTCTCAACACACAGATGGGTTCTATATACAGAAAAGGAAGTGAGGAAATAAACATAATTATGCAGCCTTGCTCTATCTGTGGATTTATGACACGCCCATTTCGTTATCTTCATCAACTGCGAAATTCAGTCCTCTTAACCTGTTTCGATATTAGGATTAGGCGAATTGATCAATTATTTTCTTAGCCTAACGTCATTAACTGACTGCTTTTTATAAAAAAGAATATATTTTCTGTGAGACAGGAACTAAATTTTCATATAGCTCATTATCTATAAGAACTTTCAGTTCAAAGGGAAAATATTACGTCCATACGCTAACCAGAATTTATTTCTAACTCATTTAACATCTTCAGTTACGTATATGCCTATATAAAAATTAAATACAAAAATATGCCTAGGTAACTAACTCCACGGTGATGAGCCCTTCTTGACAAGCCGCCAGTCACTCACCTACTCAAGGATTTCCTACAGAACCCGAAGGTTCATTACCGTGTTCAAAAATTCCTACCACTGGTTCCTGTCGTGAGACAGATGAATCCAGACCCTACAATCCCTTTCTACTTCTCTAAGAGCCAACAGGTCTACATAATAGTTAATTATAAAACATATTTAAATAATTATGTAAATAGGCCTAAAACTGAACACTGGGAAAATCAGAAAAACTCAGCTTAACTATACAACCAGGTTCTCTGATATATAGGCCATAGTAGCCTGCTTGCAGCGTTCTATTTTACTTCGTGCTTAATCAAGGACAATTATGGTGTAGCAAATGAGGCAAACAGAATGTGCTGCAGTGAATTTACCGCCTGCTGACGGAATTCCATGACTGAGGTACCACTTAAGGCCCCAGCTGTCAGCAGACAGCGAGCCCTGCTACTTTCTGCTGTTAAATATTTCGTTGACAGCAGGAGTATTTTCCATTTTCAATACACGGGTACAATTTTCCTTCGAATCGTGAATTTCATTATAAATAGCTATCAGTTATAGCTGTTGGGCAATGGAAATAATTATTATTTATTCTAAGAACGATAAGAAATTTAAAGTTAAGCTCTCCTTGTGCTTGATTAATTAAGCACCACGCAATGAAGATATATGTGGGCGTATAGTTCCACAGTTCTTAGCTTCGGTACAAGATGAACACGAAACACAGGCCTATAAGCACAATGTGTAGATAAAATTCGGAGTTTTTAATATTATAACAGATGGTAGGTCCAGGCCTACGTTTATTCTTTAAAGCCATTCATCTTTGTTCCATTGATTGTTCTAGATGAATCTTTACTGCAAACACAAAATTACTGTAAGATCAAGGATTATTATAGGACTATAATTGTCACGATTTATGTGTGACTATAGGCGGGGTATAGATTGGATATTGGATTTATTGACACAACTCGAAGCTGCAAGTAATTACAGCGCAATCGCTGACCTTCACACACTATAAGTCACTACTGCAAACTCTAAGTCTTCTCTAGCCTCAGTGTCTTCAACAGCCCTTTCATGGTAACGGATGTTAACAGTGGAGTTTCTTCAGCTTTACGTCCTCAGATCCTTTCTGTTCGGCGAATGCCCTGGAATTGAACTCTCTCAATACCACTGAGCCGGCCTGGGGTCCTCGTTAATTAGTCTAGGAGCGGACCCAACAGAAAACACCGCCCCAACAATTCTTCTATTGTTGTTACGGACGGTTGCCTAGCGATAGCTGTGATATTGGTGACGTGTTTACCAGCCGTTACCAAGCAATGCAAGTTCCTTCTCGCGATCATTGTACAGCAACGGTACCACACGCTACAATATTGTCAAATATAAGGGGGTAGCGTGACTAATAATTGTGCGTTTACACTTGATGACTGGATTTACTGGACATTTCTATTACAACTACAGTTGATCATAACAGCTCACACATTGAACTCCTTCTTAACGACGCCTGTTTGACGAACGTCTCACTGTTGTATGAATCTCGGACTGTTCTCTGGTTTCTCGAACTTAGTATTTGTTATAACCACTAGGCGGCTCGGACAGCATACACAAACTCCAAGGGTTTTATTACTGTGTTTCATGTCTGCGTTGTGCCGGATATGCCTGCAATACCGTAGCAAATAAACCCGTTGCCCAGCAACGGACATCTATTCTTGTGGACAGCGTGACGCTCGGGAATGTGTTTAGCTAGCCGTTGCCTAACAATGCGTCACAATATAATAAACCTACTGAGAAAGCAAGACATTTTAATTAATTTGGTTATAGTGGCCTCTTTCAGTTTATGCAAATACAGATTTGGAAAGTAAACTGCGAAAATATTAGCATGTAGGTGGGATAATAAGGAAAGCAAGAAAATAAAGATAGACTTTTACAAAACTATGGCTATACCTACATTAGTAAACAGTTCACAAAAGCTTAGGCAATAAACAGAAACAGCAAGAATTAAATTCCTTAGGAATGTGTTTCGTTCAGGGCAGTGGCAGAAGAAGTTTGAGAACAGGGTGTTGCGGAGAATATTTGGACCGAAGAGGGGTGAAGTGACAGGAGGTTGGAGAAAACTGCATAATGAGGAGCTTCATAACTTGTACTCTTCTCCAAGTATAATTAGAATGATCAAGTCAAGGAGGATGAGGTGGGCAGGGCATGTAGCATGAATGGGGGAGACGAGCAATGCATACAGGATATGCTGGGAGAGCCAGCAGGAAAAAGACCACTGGGATGACCAAGGCTAGGTAGTTGGACAATATTAAAATGAATCTTAGAGAGATAGAATGGGATGGTATGGACTGGATTGATCTGGCTGAGGACAGGGACCAGTTGAGGGCTCTTGTGAACAGTAATGAAACTTCGGGTTCCATAAAAAGCTGGTGAATTCTTGAGAAGCTGCAGAATTGGCGGCTCTTCCAGAAGAGGAGCCCAACTTCGTGAGTGAGTGAGTGAGTGAGTGATGTGGAGGAACGTCCAGAAATTCGTCATGATCACACAGCAATATAGGGTACAATTCCTTTGCAGCTCTGACCGTGCACAGGGGTGCGGTTAACTGAATTGGAACACTGCCTGATCCCTGTTCAAGATAGCGATGACGTTACGCGGTAATAAAACAAAATCCTACCGTAGATGGGGAATTAGGGATAAACAGGATCAGAGGACCATCTTATAGCGCGGATTATTTGTACTACTGTCATCCCCCTCCCTCCCAGATATGACGTCATTGCATTGATTTGATACGGTTCTACAGAGATAGATTCCGTCCAGTCCCGCTGTGTCGCAATCACGCAACCTTTGTCAGGACGGAAACTGGGAAATGCTTTCCGAAAGAGCACGGCATCTCTCGACATGGGCAAGTAACGTAAATATACCGTATGTTGTGGCTTTCTTGCTTTATGTAAGATTTGAGTTTTTCACGACGGGGACCATGAGGAATGCCGTCTTCTGGGATGTAGCGCCGTGTAGATCTTACGTGAACCGACGTTTCGGAGGAAAATATGGCCTCCATCATCAGGGTATAAAATATCTTCAGTTGCCTGCTTACGCTGGTTCCTTGCTCGCGGATATTTCATACCCTGAAGATGGAGGCGATACGTTCCTCCGAAACGTTGGTTTACACAATATCTACACTGGGCCACATCCCAGAAATCGGCAGTCTTTATTTTTATCCTAATTTCCTGACTTTGATAAAAATAAAAGTAGGCTTATGAGATCACTTTGCTGTCTGTATGGCTTTGTGTACCTGTGTATCCACCTGTATCAACTTCTGAATGCCTGAAACAGTCTTTATGAAACTCGATATGTATATCATGACACCTGAGCCCAGATGGCCGAGCCAGAGCTCAAGCGGTTAGTCACTTGCTTCCCACCGCGGCGGCCCTAGTTCGAGCCCGGGTCTGGTCAAGTGGGATTTGTAGTGGACAAAGTGGCGCTGGGGCAGGTTTTCTCAGAATACTTCGGTTTCCCCTACCAATCTTCATTCCACCAAATTCTCCATCATAATCACCCGGGGCAGGTACAATAGGCCAGTCAGTGGCCGACGTGCCGAGTGGACCCAGCTGGACTCCACCCCCAACAAAGCAAAATGACACCTGAGCCCATCTCAGCTGCGTACAACATAAATCCCTCCCATCAGTCTGTGCGTCTGTATATGTATGCTCATGCCGTTCACAGGCAATGGTACAGTAGACACGTTCCCGTGGCAACGAATACGTGCAACAATAGAATAACTGTTGGAGACGTCACTTCATATACAGTCCGTGTCGTATCAAGTTCTTCCCAGGACTTTTCGCTCTGGTTTATTTTACGGAGCTGCCGGTAGCTGGACTCTAAACAA